GGAGAATCAGGTTGGGAGGATTAAATGATTACTAGGCAAAGCACACTCCTTTACCAGGCTACAATTACACTGCCTATAGCATGCACCTTACCCAAATGCAGGCAAGATTCATTCAGAGGTCGTGGAGAGTACTAGCCAAGTGGCATCACCCCCAGTCTTGGCTGTGGGTGTGTGATATCGCTGTCTCTCATGTATCTCAAGGGGCACATGCCACAGTGACCACCAGGGCTTTCAGAATCGAACCCCCCGTAGTTGTAATTGCAGTCAGATGCATCTACGGAAGCCGTGTGAATATGCCCTACCTATGAAAAGCGATCTGAGTGGAAGATGCAGAAACCCCGAAGGGGAGAGGGAATTCTTAAATCTCATTGGGGAGAGCGTGTGATGTGCAACCTCACACCCCACGCGGCGTTCCGTACTTCGAACGCCGATCAGAGCAGTTGGGAGTGTGGCCGAGGATTTTTGGTCGGTGGGGTTGAATTGCCCGGGCGAAGTGGGGGATTGTTGTTTCGAGCCGAGAGTTGCCTTTTGGGGGTTCGAGCCGTCGTTGAGGGCAAGGGTCGGGGAGAAAGCTCATTTCGGAGCAACCATCAAAGGGAACCCCAAAAGAGAAACATTCGGAAAAAGAAGAAAAAGACGAGGGAACGGAGTTTTTCTGCTCCTTGTTGCGCCTGGTTCGCGCGGACCGTGGGGCGGCCACTTCCGAAATAGGGAAGTTTCAGGCCTCGGCGTCAGATTCGTCGAGCCCGTGTGGACATCCTAGCGCGGGGTCGATGAGGGCCGGGCGGGCCGAGGGGACCCAAGTTCGAAAGCTGGCCGAGAGCGCGCCCGCGTTGCGGGAGAGTTCTGGGAATCGAGCCGCACCTTCGTATCCCAGAACTAGCCTTCATTAGGAACACGAATCCCCCTGGCGACACCAGCAGCAGTTAAACCGAGGCCGCCACGTGGCGTGGGCCGCAGACCAGGGCAACACAGTCAGATCGGTGTAGGGCAATATCAGGGGAGGGGAAGAGAACCGATCAATCAACACAAACCCACTCCCTCCAATGTGGCAGGCCCGGGCAGGGTTATGTAGATGAATCTGCTCAGTTCGTCGCAGAGTGCTCAGCACCTCCGCGTCGCAGTACACACTATCGTCGCCTGCGATCGGGAAGGTCGGCAACATGCTGCGATGGACCGATACGAAGGTCGAGCATGTGCAAGGGCCCGCGCTCACGCCCGCCGAGACGAACTCTGGCTCCATGCAAAGATTAGTGAAACCCACCTCTCTCTCTCTCTCTCTCTCTCTCTCTCTCTCTCTCTCTCTCTCTTTCTCTCTCTCTCCGCATCAACCTGAATGCTGGGCCGGGGATGCGGGGTCTTGTCGAGTCGCGAAGATATCAGCCGCGTCACGGAGACGCGAGCGACTGATCTCTCCGGTTATCAAGTGTAATTCGTGGGGGCGATGCCAGCCCGTTCGCCCGGATCTCCTGCGCACACAAAGGGGGAGAGAAAGGGAAGGTGTTGGCGCCAATCCCGCGGCTATATGCGGCGTTAAGATCGGGAAAAAAAGGGGTCAGGGAAGGGAGGAAGATCCAACACACTCATGCATCCATGCAGACGGTTGACACCCACCACTCCCCATAAACGCGCCTATAAGCGTCCACACATCTACTCGTTCAGCCATCTTGGTCAGTGAGACATTCAACATCCATAGACTCTCGTACCACAGCATGCATACAACGGAACACCCATGCGTTGGGACCTTGCACACATCACACTTGGACAACGCATCGATGGAGATAAAAGCGAGTTCCGCAGCATATAAAATTTCTCACATGGCTGGCCGCCCTGGGTCCAGCCCCAATCTGTCAGAACCACCGACAACCATAGCCACAAGGCCCTGCCGCTGCCGGCGTCCGATCTCCACCACCGCTCAGTCCCTCCGACTGTCTTAACCCAAGTCTATCACTAAGCCCGCCCCACGTCGTCACTCCGCCAGTCACTTGGGCTCGTCAAGCCTGTTCGACGCCGCGGACCTCGCACATAGCTCGCGCAGCATTGCCGCCGAGATCAAAGAGAGCGAGAGGAAGGGGCTGCAAGAATTTATAGCGTGGAAGGCGGCGGGGTGTCAGCACAAGCTGCGGGTAGCACGGGGTGTAGATGAGCAGGACAGAAGAAGGGCCGGGGTTCCAGAAGGATCGAAGGAGGCGAGTTGAACGATCTGTGTGATTGGGGTGGTCGTTCAAGTAGTTCGCGCCTTCCGCGTTTACCACATTGATCCGACCATCCCAATTACACAGCCAATCGTTCGCGATGATGGGTAAGGAGAGGATTGGACTTTGCTCAAGGGAAGACGAAGAGGCATGCAAGAAGGAAACTCGCGGCAAGAAGGGAAGATGGTGCGGGAATGCAAAGCGGGGGAACGGGTTTACACGGCGTGCAAAAATTTGAAAAAAGGCCGCGCACGTAAGAAATCAAAATTCCCATCCATACTAATTCCTAACTGTTTTTTGGATTTCTCGGCGCGACCGCTAACCTACCGCGCGAAAAAGAAAATCATCAGGGGCAGTTCTAAAAAGAAAAATAAGTTTCTGTTCTGTTCCTCTTCTCTGTTCAAGAAGGAAAAAGAAAGAAAAAGGAAGAATAAACCCCGTTCCTCCCAATCACCTAGAACTCTTACTTCGAGGCTTACGTGGGTTTTCTCTTAAGGGTACGGGGAGCCGCTGAGTACAGATCCTGGCTTATCACAAGCGCCTACTACCGTCTTCACCCGAATAGAACGCCCGGTAATTATGGCTGTATCTGGACTGAAAGCTGCATCAAATACAACTATAATGACCGGGCATTCTATTCGGTTGAGACGGTAGCAGCCTGGCCTAGGAAGTTGTGAAATACAAACTTCATGTGAGCGGTCGGATGCCAGATCGACCCTTCCGGCACACATGAACCTTGCATGAAAACAATGACGAATTTGCAAAATTGTTGGTACGAGGCAGCGACAAGGCAGCTGAGTCGAGGTGAAATCCCCTGTATGTTTTACTTGTGATGCTTGCCGGGGATAAGCAACCAGACTGCCACCCCCCAGAATAGATCGGGCACGAGTGTGTTTTGATGTTAGAATAGACAAGCAATCTCTAAGAGTATACTCACACTAGGCCCTCAAAATCACAAAATAACAAAACGAGCGGACAAATAGAGTCTTTCCGTTAGGACTCAATCTGGCCGCTCATTTTTTTTGTGATTTCGAGGGCCTATTGTGAGTATTCCCTAAATGTCTCTTTTTTTCCTTAGTACTTTTCTAATGCCTCCAATTGCTCACTAAAGTGTGCCATTTTGGCTAGTGGAATCCGCATTTAAACCCATTTTGGCGAAGAGTGGAAACCAAAATGGGCCATTTAAAGTTTTTTAACTTTTTTAAACCCTTTTTGGCAGAAGAGTGGAAACCAAAATGGGCCATTTTGGTGAAAAGTGGAAACCAAAATGGGCCATTTTTGTGGAAAGTGGAGAAACCAAAGGGGCTATTTTGGCAAAGACGGGCTACTTTGGTGAATGGAGACCAAAATGGCCGATTTCAGTGCGTGGAGACTAAACATGTCCGACTTTCCACATCCTCCCCCTAGTGGGAATGATTGACAGCAAATCAACAAAGAATTTAAAGTCGCTCGCATCGCAATTTGCAGCCTTTCTGCATCTCTTATTGCAATCAGGGAGGAGAGAGCCTGCGTGGAAGTGGGTGAGTTGTGCTGCACAGTCCATCCCTCCTCAGTGCAGCCCTCCATCTCGTCATCAGATGCAGGCAAGTGCCACCTTCTCGGCGTCTCGTTTTTCCTCCCCCCCCCCCCCCCCCCCATTCTGTATGAAATTTTAGTATATCGGCTTTTTCTCATTTTGATAAGGGAGGAGGGATACTGAGGTGGTCATGGTCAGACAGAGTTGTCCCCTGCAGATTACAGTCTTCCAGCAATCGAGAACAAGAAAGCATGGATTGACAGTCAAGTGGGAGAAACAGTCAGGTTGGCCTAGCTCAGTCGGTACACCCATGAACTGTTGAAATGCAGGCTCAAGGTCTAATCCAGACACAGTCAGATGAACAAAAAATTGCAAAACTAAACCCTAAACCCTAAACCCTAAACATTAAACCAATAATTCAGAATTACCTGGGGCCTTGTCGTTCGGGACATCCGTTAAAATTGGAACGCCCCTGCGCAAGGATGACACACATAAATCGAGAAATGGTCCAAATT